CAGAATGTTATCTTGGCACCATTTAAAACACAAATGATAAAAAACTGGATACGTAAATATATAGACATATGTTTATGTAAATGATAACCAGAAAACTTATTTTGTTAAAATTTAATTTTAACTAATATAATGAAGTTGAATTATAAAACAAAATTAAATAACATGAATGTGCATTAAAGAACAAGACAAAACAATTAAAATAAGCCTGTAAAATTTAAAAAAAATTTTAAGCCCGTGGTTTTAAATTTGAAATAGCTTATTATTCCCTACAGAATTGTGGAGAACAGACGTTTTTGTAGAGAAATTATCTTATAGTTTAACTATAATCATCAAAATAGAGAGTTAATTCATTCGAAGACTCAATTTTATTTTTTTTAAATTACAAACAGCAAGACAATTATTTGTAACATAACAATAAAACTTACAATTATAATAAATAATAAAATCTTAAAAGTTAACCAAAAATTATATATATTTTTTTTTTGTTTTATTCCAAATGTCGATTTTTTATAGTAATAATTCGAAAATACATTTCCATAATTAAATATTTGAATAAATTTACATTTGTACAAAATAAAAATAAAAATTGACACAGCAATAAATAAACATATAAGTTTTAAGTAATTAGTTACATAAATCATATAATTTATAAGTCATTAATAAAAGTCAGAATATAAAATAATCTATTTCACTCAGAATATTAATTCTAACTGTTCATCCAGTCCTTTAGGTAAATAGAAAAATTGTATAGAATATTTAGCTAGCCATTTAAAAAGTCAAAATATGTAATGTATATATGCTTTGTTTGACACATACATTGTAACATTAACATAAACCATACATAGTTTATGCCCAAGACCGTTCCTTCTCTAAACTATGCTCATAAAATTAAAACTTTTATTAAATTATAAGCTCAGCTAAAGTATAAGATCAGTTGTTATGTAACTTATGTAAATAACTATTTTTAACATTTATCGTTTAAAAGATGAGAAAATTAAAAATTTTTCAAATATTCCTTAAAAAAATAACAATTTATTAATTATATAGAAAATGGTAATAACAAAAATTGTTAATATAAAAATAACATTAATAATTATCGGAAAACGTGATATGCCTGTCACTAGAGTGATGACATTATAAGAACATTATAAACATTAGTGTTTAAAATACTAAACGAACATTATGTCCATTAATTTTATTAAGAAATATGAAAATTAAAATTAAAATGATAAACATTTAATATTAGGATATTAGTATAATATTATATACCTTATCTTTAAAGTTCATTTAAAATTACAATATACAAGTAGTATTCCTAATGTAGGAAACATTGTTTAACAGTGGACAAATAATTCATGTTAAAAATTATAATAAAAACCTAGTATCATTGGATTTATCAACGATCACGTCACATTATAAAATAACCAAATATGACGAGAATAATTAAGAAATCACAGAATATGTATAAGTTTTGCTATAAAAGGAAATTTACTGAAAAATTAATGTTAAATATCGATTAAGAAATAAATCTAAATCATAATTACAAAAAAAAAAAAATACTAAAAATTTTTATTTCAAAATTAATGAAAAAAAAGACAACCGATTTTCATTTCAAGTAAAACCTAATGGCGAGAACTGTCCATAATAAAATTATAAAAAAAACATAAGATATTATTACAACATGATATATATGTATGTAAGACATTCACTTATTGACAAACATGAAACCATAAAACAAAAGCAAACATTAAAAACATGTACAATTAAAAAAATTTCACGAGATACAAAATATTTTTTGTGAGCCAATAAATACTCATAAAATAATACCATAATAAGAATTATACTACATAGTTATTTTATGGTACTTATTTTAAAACCATTTTAATTCTTCATTACTCCACTCTACACTTTACAACTTGCCAATAATATAATAATAATTAATAATAATAGATACATGATAATTGACTAGATATTTGAGTTGAATGTTGTGAAAGATTATTCAGGAAGCCGCTAATATGAAAATTTAATGGAATTAAATCACTTATAAAAGATAAAGTTAATATATACATTCCAAATAATTCTGAAAAATGTTTAAAAAAAATCAATGTAGAATATTACATTTTTTTTATACATTTTCTAAGTGGTTTTGATAAACAATAAAAGTCAATAGATATTTGAAGACGATATTATATACATAAACAAGAACATGGTGCAACAATACACTTTTAATACAACATAAAATTGAATAATTATACATAATTAAATCCAGAGAATTTTAAAATGACACTTTCAATTATAAATGCTAAACACATACCTCAAAAAAAAAAAAATCTAGGTACATATTATTCATTCAAAATTATACTTACACCCGTGGGGCAAATTAATATTTAATATAATTGAAATGTGAACTACTAGTGATATCACTGAATAAATATTATATAAAAATGGTAAAAAAATACCATTTGTGGGGATATTATTTTTTTTTCTTACTAATAGATTTGAATTACTAGTTTCAAAGCTTTTAATTTTTGTGGAAAATATACAGCGACAATTATAATGACACACACACACACATATAAATATTTTTTTTTAGATTTAAAAATCTCGTGTTTGTGGTCGCACTCCTCCGAAACGTTTCGACCTGTTTTAATGACTTTTTTTTTGCATATTTGGTGGTATAGGAATAGGTCGTAAAGTATTTTTCACTCTCCTCCTCCACTTTTTAATTCCGATTTTAGTATTTTGGAATACCAAAATTTAATTATTTTAGATTTAGTATCCATGTTAAAATACTAAAATAATATAAATATATAACCGTAATACCGTTTTTCATCAGAATGTACAACAATTATGTCTATTTATGTGCATGTAACAATAAAAAATGTCAGTACGATGCAAAGGGCCCAATTCGGGCCGTCGAACGAATAAAGCAATAAACATGCCAAACAGTAGAACAAAAAGAACAGATGAACAAATCCAACAAAAAAAAAAAAAAGAAAATTTATGTGTGAGCGTGTCGCAATTGCGAGCATCTCAATCACAAGAGATATGGGTTTAACGAAATTAACAACGACAATTGGAATGGAAACAAGCGCGAAGGTTCGTAATTGACACATACAGAGCAAACGACCGACAACGGCAACAAGTACATCGAGGATTCATACTTACAGGTATTTAATTAAAATTTATTTTTATTGATAAAAAAATAATAATAGATTATTGAAATAAGAAACAACATTGTGCAAACAACGATGCAAAGTTTTTTAGTTTCAGAATTGGACTTTTCTACATTTAATTGCCACAAATTTATCGATGATATTTTAAAAATTAATTTCTTCCGCAACTTAATTTTTAATAGATAAAATTACCAAATTTTTAAAGTCTTTTCTATACTATAGTTGATCTGAAATAATTCTTAACGAGTTTAAGTTGGTTAAAGCTACGTTCATAGCTACAGTTATAGGAATTGTCAAAAAGATTCTAAGTACAATGTCTACGTTTGAATACGATTCTTGAATCAGCTGGAGTAATTCAAGAAATATAGCACATTTAATATGACCTGTAATAATTGACTGCACTATGTGCTGAAAATCAAAAATCTCATCAATACATTCTGTACCATTGACGGCTTTTTCATATTTCATTCCTAAATCCATCGCGCTTTTTTCAATTCTGTAGTACTCATGTTGTACAATGATACAACACACAAAAATGGGAAAAATAATATTTCAAAACTCTCAATTTCATAATAAATAAATTAACTTACTAGTGGTTAAACCAGAGTCTAAAGTTTTAGCCCTACGAAATTTAAAACTTTCCACAATGCATGATGAACGGAGTTAAATCAATATTTTTAAGGAACATTTTTAATTCTTAATCCACAGATACATGTAAATAATAAATACAATACTCATTAAAATAAAAAAATGAATTATAAAATTTTTTCAAATCTGTATTTCAACGTTTTTTAAGTACGCCTTTTACTGTTAAACCATTCCAAACCCATCCGTTTTTATACTTCGTTGTATCAGAATTGCCTATTTATAACGCCGTGATATTGCAAAATAAATATTAATTTTTTTAATTAAACATGTTATTTCGACAATTACATAAATAATTACACGGATATTTTTATGCATAAAATGATTTCTACTATGTCGTATGTTTTAATTATTTCTAGTTTGAATCTGTATATCGTTATATATTGTTATAAGTAAACATATACTTTTTATTGAAATTGTCTATTTGCATAAGTTAATTTTAAGATGGATGAACTTAGTTTCAAAGATAATTAACTAAATGATACCATTTTTAATTATATTTTTTTTTATTTTAGTAAAAATGATTTAGAATTAAATATAATACGTTTTATAAATTATAATCACATATTCAATTGATTTAATAATTAATAATTTAAATTCTTGTAAAAAGCTGTTTACTATGTTAATTAGTGTTTAAGATAATAATTCAATACAATTATACCTATTTTTGCAATACTAAAATTAATTTTATATGATATTATTTTATCAAATAACAATAAAGTCTTTATGATCATCAAACAATTTGATGAAAGCCATATTAATATTTCCAACAAAAAACATAAGATATAATTATAAAATATATTTGAATGATACAATTTTGAAAATCTATGCACGTGACAGTGGAATAATTGAATAACTTTTTAAGTTATAAATTCAATGAAATATAATTAAGTATTTACTACTTCAAAAAGTAAATAAGTAAAACCAAATATTTGTAATCACTGGCATAAATACAACTTCATAAACTTTCAAACATATTTTTATTAAATATTTTTACCTTGTTTAATTATAAACATAAAACAAATTAAACAATAGAATTATTTTTAACCCAACAACCATTGAAAGATATGATAAATAAATACAAAAACAGTTCAATTAACCTTTATTAAGTTTTTGTAATTAACAATTAATGCTAATATGCATAAAAATAAATCATAATAAAATAAAACACATTCTTACCTGACTACGTAATTAATACACATTATGCTCTCAGGTTTTTGTCCTTTGGTATCATTGAGTACAGTTGCTTGAGTAACTATCCAAACATAGCCACCTCCTTTTGATAAAAATCTATATTTGTTCGTTTCCACTTGTCCTTTTTGGAATACTGAAAAAAATACTAATATTACAAATATTCATAAAATTATAATTGTGTTAATAATCTTACTTACATATTTTAAAACTTTTTTCAACAGAATTACAATCTTCAGCATGATAATAATCAAACACTGACTTTGAAACCAATGAATCTGGTTCATAACCCAAATATTCTGTAATACTGAAAAAAAAAGAACTCTTATTATCTATATTGAATACTCAATTTTTTTTTTTTTTTTTTTATTGATATAATAAATGGTTCAACATTTATATCAAGTTAATAAAAATATATTAATTACTTAAATAATTAATTAACTGAATTACTCAGACTCAAACTATTTCAAATTGAAGCAACTACTAATCCTAAACCTAACAACTTTAAATTTAAACAGCATCATTATCATTATCCTAATAATATTTATTTTTATTTATTTGTACTTTATTAATTCAAATATACCTCAAATGGTAATAATTAAAACCTTAATATTAAACAAAATAAAATATATCTCGAGTAACTAAATTGAAAAAAATTATATATCCAGGCAGATAAATAAGATTAAAAATTCATCACTATTTCATACACAATTATAAATAATATTCAAATTTTTAAAAATAAACAAATGATATAATATAAAATATATTACATCAAAATGATTGTAAACAGGAAGTAATAATTTTGTATGATAATTTAATTTCATATATTATATAAAGAATACAAAAAAAATTTAAGATGTAAGTTAAATAGAATAAAGATTATGAATTTGATGTTAACCACATTAAATATTTTATAGAAATATTAAAAATTAATTTGTCAATATTAAATATTGAAAGATATTTTAAGAATAAACTAAAAATAATAGACACTAGAATAAAAGCTTAAATATAACCAATAATATATGTAAAATTTACTATTATTAATTTATAATAAATGTATATTAAGTATTATGTATCATAATAATTATAATTACAATATTTTTTTAATTAATATTTATAAAAAATTTACATCAATATTGAATTTAATTTTGATGTTATTAAATTAGTTTTGTGAATATAACTTAATTTTAAATAAAAGTTAACATTATAGTATAATTAATGATAATAATGGAAATATGGGAATTCTAGTATATGAAAATGTATAATTAAATATAAATTATTTTCATTTTCAATTTTTATTCAATATATATCAAAAAAATATAAAATTGTCTACCTAAAACCCCTAGGACCAATAAGTATAATTTTCTAAACAAAATTTCTATACACCTATAATTATAAAAACTATAAACTATACTATATAAACTATTACCAATTTATATTCATATTTCTCATATATGTTTATTTAAATCAATTTGAATAATATTTAAAATATGTAAATAAATAAGGTGAAATAATAACAAAACAATTAACTGACCATTTTTCAAATTTAATTAAGGAAACACTTATAAAAAATTTAAAGTAGATTATATGTTTGAATAAATGAATAATAACAAGCAAAAAAGTATTACAAAAAGAAGAAAACAATAAAAACTTAGAAGTTTTAAATTAAAAAATTTAATTTGATTTAAAAAATAGAAAATAGTTTTGTATAACATACTTATTTTTTATTCATAGTATAAAAACATATGACTTAATATTTAGTATTATTTAATTTTTATAGAATATATCAATTTTATAACATTTGAGTAGTTAACAAAAATAATAAAATTATAATATATTAAAGTTTAACACATACATAAATATTTATATTTAAATATATATATTTAAATATATATATATATATATATAAATTTATAATATATATTAAGTTACAAAAAAGATACGTAAAAATACAATGGTGTACAATGTTTACTGAAAATATAATTTTGATAGCAGAAAATGTGTAAGAAGTCAATAATATATACGAATGGACGGAGTTTGGCCTTTGAAGGAAAGAGTATAGAAACAGAGTATAGAGAGTATGACTTTGGAAGAAAAAACCAAGAAATTGAGGCGATTAGGAGACCAATGATTATAATCAGTGATGTGATAGATGATGTAATAGGCAAAGTTAAGAACTTTAAATATTTAGGATCATTTATACTAAAGAACAGGGGATTCAATATGAATGTAAAACAAAGGATTAAGTGCAGTTAGATGGAATGGAGAGAAGTGTCAGGTGTTTTATGTGCTAAGAGAATTCTTTTGAGGCTGAAAGGTAAATTTTACAAGAGTGTAATGAGATCAACTACGCTATATGATTTGAAGTGTTGGGTGGTTGACAGACAAATAGGACAGAGTATGAGTGTTACGGAAAAAAATTGCTTAGATGGATAAGTGGAGTGACAAGAAAAGATGGAATAAGTATTATAAATATGAGATTTAGTTCTGGTGTAGCGTCTATAGTGGACAAGATGAAAGAAAATAGACTAAGATGGTTTCGGCATATAATGAGTCTCGAGGAAACAAAAGTAGTATGAGTGGTTATGAATATTAATGTTGAAGAGAAATAAGGTAGAGGAAGACCAAAAAAAAAGAGATATTTGGATACAATTGAGAATATGAGAGCTGTTGATGTGTGCGTAAGAAATGTGGAAAATTGAGGCGAGTGGAGAGGTTTAGTATAAAGGTGGCCGACCCTAAATAGTTAGGAGAAATGAGGGGGAGAAAAAAATACAAGTTTCTAATATATTTAAAATAGCTAAATTATTGTTTATTATACAATTAATACTATACTATATAATACTAATTGTATAATAAACTATAATTTAGGTATTTTATATATATTCGAAATAATGAATGATCTCAAATGTAAAACCTTAATTATAAGAACTCATTTTGTTTGTAAAATACTGAATATACAACATTTTCTAAAAAGAAGACAAACATTGTTTAGATAAAAGAATGAAATATTCTTATTTATATTTTGAATATAGGGAAATATCAACACTTTAACAAGATGAATATAAATTAATATTATAAAATCTATAAACTGTTAATAATGTTTCCAATTTTTTACATGAATAGATTAAAATATTAGAATAATATAAAAAAAAGATTTAAATATTTTATTAGTAAACTTCATAATATCATATTTAAAATCATACATTATATAGCAAAATTAATTTTTAACTCATATGTCAAAAGTTTTATGAGATTTATTAGCATTCATATTTTTAAACATAATTAATATTAAATTTGATAATTTAAAATTTAAATAAATCTTTCATTTTTTTTATCAGAAGTATATTAAGTCAGTGTATTGAAAGAATTTTGTGTTCTCATAAATTATTTAATATATTTTATCTTACCCTTCCACAAAATTCTTTTAAATCAAAATTTTAATTGTTTAACATTAATCAAAATATTCATAAAAATGTGTATAATGTAGAAACTTGTAGTTTTAATAAAGTTAGGCACTTTTATTAAAAAAAAAAAAACAATGATTAAATTATTGGTGAAAATTTATTTAATTTTTTTAATTATTTTTTATATTTTTAGTAAATCCTTACATTTAGTAAATCACATATAACAACAGCTCTTAACCATTGCTTCATTTTAACAATACTACCTGTCTTAACTTACACATCATCAACAATTATGTATTTCATATCCAATAAATGCTTGCTAAAAAATATCTTGCTTTGTTTATATAATGGTATCTCAATATTTGCTGGATGTGGTATTGGTTCAGCAATTGAAATAAATATTTGACGTGATAAATCATTAACTTTATTAAACTTTAAATCACTATTATTTGATTTATTATCGGAATCTGTTTTCTTATCTGATTCATAGTCTGAATCTGATTCTTCTATTGGCAAAATTGTTGATCTTATTTGGGCACAAGTATTGAGAACTGAATGTCCAGTAAAATGCAGTACCTAAAAACCAAAAGTTTTGTATTATTATTTATTTATTGTTAAAGAAATGTTTATAACTTCATTGGATATTGCCAAAATTGTAAGAAATTATATTATAAATTATACATGCAAAATATTTATTTTATGTAAATTACAATGAAGATATTAAGCACATTATAAAGTAGTTAATTATATTAGTTAAATTACATGATAAATAATTTTTGTGTAAAATTGCCAAAAATTGATAGTAAATTCTGATTCATTCAAAATTTTAAAAAACTTTATTTCAAAATTGTTTTTTTTTTAGAATCCAATATATATAATATTATTAAAATTATTAATACATACACTAACTTAAAAAAAAAAAAAATTTCAATAATTTAACACTTAATCTGAAAAGAAATATATTTTTTTTTTTTTGTAAGATATTCAATTAACATTTTTTTAACAGTTTATCATGATCAGATTTCAAAACAAAGACTAATACACATTTGATCAACAACAATAATAATAAAGTTATTATAATAATAGTTATAAATATTTATCATTGTATGTTACGAGAAATATTTACCAATAACAATTAAAATATTGATTTTATGATACAATTTAATCAATTTTTACATTTGTCAATAATAATAAAAATAATAACAATAATAATAAATCAATATAAATTTGAAATTGTATTATGCCGCAATAGTTTAATACAATATAGTGGTTAGTAATGACTGATTACTTATCTATTTTGAAGGATTATATTCAAATATAATACGTTTTAGTACTAACATATTACATTTATAAGTCCAGATATCAAGTGATTACACACCAAATGTAGACTAAACGATAACGAAATATCGTTGAATCATTGAATAATAAGCGTTCAATAAAATATATTTCAACGCAATACGCTAAGAAACCTATCAAATTTAGTCCTACTAAATCGCATCTATGAGTTTGATAGCAAAATAGTGGTTCGATTTCTAGTCATAAATTTTAGATCACAATACTTGTAACCTAATTAGTTTATATTCGAAAGTTAGATATTGTACAATAGTTACATGTGATTATTTTTCAAATTTAAAGACACACAGCGTTTTACTGATACAAGAATGTTTTAAATTACAGGTTACTAAGTCCTTTATATTTCTAGGAATACACTTAATCAGATAATACAACGTAAAATATCTGCGAAGAAAATTATCTGGACAAACAGGTATATGAATATTAAACCTATCAAGATATAATACATCATCCATAAAAATTACATTCACTTGGCGGCCGCTAAATCTTACACAGTAGGTAGTCGGTAATATAGTAAATATATTTATATGATATTCTGGAGGCGAAATATTTTGTAAGGAGAAAACTCCAAATTGTATGCGTATACTATATATAGTTGCAATACATTTAAACAAACATATTTTAAAAGTAAATTGTTTTTATAATATTAAATTTCATCCAAAATACTGTTCGACAATATCTCATCTCCCTCCTATAAAAATACCTTAAGACACAAGCCATTATGTAACGCACGCATGTTGGAATTCTGATAAACATTTCCAACACATTGGATAAGTAGTATAGAAGAACTCGTGTCTTAATTCATTTTCAATGTAGGCCGTAGGGTATGTCTACACGTATTTTTATTATAATCAGTTACTAATTAATAAACGTACATAACGTATAATTTACAAACCTTGTATGATGCTGATTTTAAATTCACACTGCGTCCTTTATTTGTAATAGTGCACTTCATTCGAATAAAAAATGACTTTTGTACTCCTACGTCTTTACTGGTAAGTATTTCTTTCAATTCTGCCTGGTCGCAAAGATGAGCAAACTCATAAATTGATTGACCTATCAAATCAATCTAAGAAAAAACTGAATATTAATTTCCACACTCTAATTTTTCTGCAGGTAATAAAATTATAAAACATAGTAATAATAAAAAATGACATGGTGTCGATAAATCGGTGTGATTTACACGTGTATCAATAAAACTAGTTGATATAAATAACTTAAAATATCACCTGTGATAAACCTAAATAGCTGGAAACATTTTCCGATATAAATACTATATCTCCGTCAGCTGTCAAGATTAATACAATACCATCCAAAGCTTTATTGCAGATTTCACTAATGTTTGGAGGACAATTTTTTTCGTCGAATTTTTCATTAATATTAACTGAAACATTTATAAACCATAAGGAAATAATTCATATTTGTAATTAGTAAATAATTCAAAAATATAGTAAATAACCATAGTTATAGTAATAATGTAACGATTTAAGTACATAATAAATAGTTGTGGATTATTTGACCTCTCAAGGATAACAGGATTCCACTATGTATAAGCCACAGTTGGAGATATTTTACAATGAAATGTATTTTGGGCAGTTGCTTTATAAAAAATAATATCAAACGTATATATTATTTATTATTTTACATATTATAAAAACATCGGAATAAAACGTTAGAACATTTAAATTCATAAATAATAACAAAATTTAATTCAACTAAAATTTAAAAATATATAAAACCAAAATTAATATGTATATATACATATTTATATAAATAAAATAAACACTTATTGTGGGTAATTTTTATTTTTTCATTTTAGTATACATCTAAGTACAAATACAAATAGAATTAAAGCAATCTTAAAATTAGTAGGCCAAAAACTCTCTTAAGATTAAAATATTGTAAAACAAATCATCAAATGCTAATATTTCAGGCAACATTTAAAATGAACCAACAATACTAATAAAATACGTTTTTATTAATATAATTGAATTGATTTTCCACGAGTTAATTTTGTACTTGAATTGTAAGAATATGTAAATGTCTTAAATTACTAAAAATTAATTAATTTTAAGTTAAATTATAATCTAAAGGTACTACACGCAATGTACCTACAACAATTCATTGTCTTAGTACACATTATAACAAAAAAGCAATAAAATATTTATCAAACAGAAATAACGCATAAATAATTATTACTTAAATACAGTATATTTAAATAGTTATATTTGATTGAGAGTATAATATATTAGTAATTATTTAACAAATAAAATAATAGATATCACAATTACTTGAAGATAAGGCATCCATAATTTTAAAAGATGATATCGTCAGCCTCATCACAGTAGCTTTATCCAGCTGATTTATAACGGATTCTGGTAAAGGCAATGCTGAACCGAGATCTGTGAATATCTCGGTCTCTTTACTACGTCTAGATCGAGCAGCATCTCTAGATTTTTCTTTGCGCCTTTCGGAATTCCTGAAAAATAACATTTGATTACATTTTAAAAATTATAGGAGGGACTATATAAAAATTACAAGGATGATGTTTCGTAATCTATACTAAATCACTTTTAGGTGATATATACTTGATTGAATTAAAATAGTACAACAAAAAAATAATAATAAATATAATAAAATATATACTATTTCATAATATATATTCGATATCTAATACGTATTATACAATATATATATATATATGTAATATTATCAAAATATGTATAATTACATTACCAAGTGTAAATATATTATGTCTAATATGCCAAATAGCATTTTAAAACCATTGTTGAATAAATAAAATATAAAAACATGATACTTGTATATTTTATTTTTAAATACAAATATAATTTAAGACCAAAATATTATATATATAGTAAAACAAATGTTCTAATTGTATATACAACAAACTTATAAGTTATTAATAGTTGGTTGATTGATATGAAGTAATATTCCAGATGAACATATTATTTATTATTGTATTAAAAACAATAGAATATAAGAAAAAATAGCCATATGATAATGACCTATAAGTTAGGACTACAAAGACTACTGCATACGAATCACATTTGAACATTTTGAAGGTTGTTTTTTCGAAAGTAAATTGAAGGAGAGACTAAAATATATTCATTGTTTAAAAATATTAAATAACTACTTTATTATTTATTATAATTAAGTATTTTATAACATTATTAAATACACACCTAGGTATAAAAAATTTTTCATTTATAAAGAAATATATTTATAAATTTAAAATGTACGATATTAAAACATTAAAAATTCATAATAAAGTACCTATTTAAGTATTAAATACGTAATCACAAAAAAAAATTAGTATAATAGTATATAAAATATAAATAAAACTAACGAAGACAAAATAATATAAAATAAAATTACTTTTTATAATTTATACAATACTTATTTTGGAAATTATTTTATAAAGTATTTAACTGAGATAAATAGCTCTATATATTTATACATATATTTTAACCGATCATTATCTCAATATACCTTCTATCAATACCTATTCGCAAAGTATCGAAATAGTACTTCTATGTATTAGTGTATAATTTAAAATATAATAGTCATATCATAACTATAAATATTTAATAAAATATTAAATAAATTACATTTAATTAAAACTAATTCATTTTATCAAATCATCACTAACTGCATACATATTCTGACACATGTATTAACAAATGTTGTTAATTAATATATATTTTATTTTCTAGAAAAAAGTTTCATGAAGAAAAGTTATTCAACGTTTATGAATTAAAATATTAAAAATATGTCAGCTGTCATACGTAGGAGTAGATACTCCTTTCATTTATTTTTAGTAATAAAACTTCGTAATCGTTTTTAATCATATTGATAATCAGTTATTCAACGACACTTGCTGTATATTATATGCAGTCTGTACTATTACGTATTATTTTACTGTTACTTAGTATTTGTTCATTTATAAATTAATACGGCAACAAATCGCCCAGGTTTTCCTATGGCCGGAAATATTAAAAAAAAAATCGAAAAACTCAAACTTTCTCTACAAAAATTAATATTTTAAAACATTTTGAATCCGGTGAGCGAGCGATGGACATGGCTAATCATTATTGTTTTACACCAACTACCATCCAAACTATCAAAATCAATTCTGTAAAAATTAAGGAAAGTATCTAAAATACAACAATTACTAGTTCAAATAAAATTAATCGAAACAGAAATCCTTTAATGGAGATTATGAAAAAGATGTTATGTTTGTGGATTGAGGATAAAAACCAACGTCGAATTCCAGTAAGTACATTATTAAGTTCAAAACTTAATCGTTATTTAATAAATTAAAAGAAGAAAATGGTGAAGTCTCGTATTATTGAAATTAATGCTAGTAGAGGTCGGTCGGTTTGAGCGTTTCAAAAAACGTTTTAATTTTCATAATATAAAAGTTACTTGATGAAGCTGCAAGTGCTGATCAATGTGCGGCAAATACTTTTATTCCCAAGTTAAAAAAAAAATGATCGAAGAACGTCGATAAACATTGAAACAAGTATACCAAAAGGTAGAAAAATAATCAACACTAGACTCTTTTTTTTAAGAAATTAATTTTTAATACGCATGTCAATCTAGTAATAAGGTTTCGTTAATTTTGGAATAATATGTAATTTAATACAAATAATTAATAATGAATAGATAAAATAACAAAATCGTGCAATAATAATAATAATAATAATACATACATACATACCTACATACATTTATATTTATTGGCAGGAACCCATTATAATAAAATGTACATAAAAGTCTTTCTGACAATAATTGATGTTTTAATTATATTAGAATTGGTATGAAACAATATTTATTATATCCGACATTAATTAGATGTTTAAATTTGAATACTTCAAAATAAAATAATTACTCAATAAATATTACAATTTATATTTAATATTAAATATTATTCATTAAATTATTAATTAGTCAAATAAATAATAAGCGAAATCGGTTATTAAAAAATTGAACTGATAATAATAAAACTTTACCTAGGTATATAAATATATATAATCTGAATAATATTCTTATAGTTTATTTAATTATTTATTTGGGCACTGATATTTTAATTTCACTATGTACGTAAACGCATTTTTTATCTATCACGTAATATTTTTCTAGTTAATAAGAATATTTTAACGCAAAATAAGCATTGCGCTAAGTATAACAGAATTAATTATATTAAAATCCCTCACCTACATCTACATATAGGTACACATAAAATAAATTAAAATATTCAGTTATTAGTATAAAATATAACTTAATGTAATTTCAAAAAAGGTTTATAATATTGAATTATAAAATCTGAAATTTTGAGTAAAATCTATAAAATGTTCAAATAAATAATATTCTTCTTTGCTAGCTTCTTATCAGGGTGTTGATTTATCTTTATAATATTAGAATAAACTATAAATTGATCGTAATACCTTATTAACAAATCTTAATAGCTCCAAATGCTATGGCTAATGTAAAATATTTCGTAACCAAGACTTAAGAATTCTCTTATCATATCCTTTCATGAAGACTGTATTTAAAATAACACATTCAATTTAAAAAAAAAAATCCCTAAACTTTGATGTTTTATCATATGTAACAATATAGAATGTTTCCATCATTTGCTATAACTCAACGCCCACATTTTTCACTCGATTTTTCTATTCTAATTTAGCTATTAACCCGACTTTTAATATTTCTACTCAATAATATCAACAGTATAATTTTGAAAAATATATTTAACACATTCTGATTTCTTTACACCTATTGATCAACCTATTTTTTACAATTATTATTATTATTATTATTCGATAAAATCAGTAAATGGGCATTTAGTCTAAATATAATAAAGATGAAGTTAGTTAAAATAGAATAAAATATTTTCAGATAAAAAATAAAATCCATAAAAACTATCAAAGGTTATTGAAATTCTATATAGTTATAATTTATAACTTATAAATGCATATATATACAAAAAAAATATAAAAACAAGATGTTTTGACATACTTTTGTTACTTCTTAATTTTTCAATTCAATAAATTCATCATAGACAATTTTCTTTATATATTTATTCAAATCATATAAATTAGGATGTTGTTATCAATTTTTTTTTTAAATTATTATTGAAAAAATTTCCGAATGGATTTTATTATTTTTATATATCCAATAAATAATAAAATAAGTAATTATTGTACAATACCCATTACAATGGGAGTATTAAATTAAAATACTTACCAAACACAATATAAATTTAAATTATTTTCAAATAAGTAGGTAAGTTACCATTTAAAGTTGTTAAAATTTTAAAAGTATTTATTTTTTTTGTTCTAAAGATATTGTAATTTAACGCATTGTGATTATTAACAGGACGTCTTCAAACATTAGAAGTATGGTAGCCATTTTGAATTAGCTCACATCTAACAATCAATTACTAAACAATAACTTAAATGTCATACTAATAACAATTGACACACATAATATATAATAATATCACAACTCTAAAATTATTTACCAATATTTATAAAAACACTAATTAAATAAATACAACTTAAAAATATAATAAAAAAATGAATAATGATTTTTATACCTAATATATTTATTTACACAAATAAGCAGCCAATAGGACGTAAAAACATTTTAAAGAATATAAGTATTCACCTGTAATGATATAAAACTAATACTTAGGCGGATCTTTAAGATAAATAACAAAAACCATAATATAATAAATAATATGAGTATTCAAAGGTATAAATTGAATATATTTTTATTTTATATTTTAAACAAATAATAATTAGAAGTAATTAGGTTAAGATGGAAGAAAAAAATCTAACAATATTTGAAATATAATAGTACATAATAATAATTAACGCAAATTTTGTCAATTTTATCATCAATATCTCAACAAAATTAATACTTAAAAAGGTTTTAAATAGTTTTCCCAGGTACAACTTCTTTCTTAATGGTTTCTCTCTCTCTTTAGTTAGAAATAATTCTAATGCATTTCAGGGACGTAATTACTAGGGGAGAGGATATGGGGAATAGACTCCTCATAAGCCGTATATATATATAGTTATCTTACACAAATTAAGGAATTAGCAACTACTTAAAAAAAAAAGTTTTAAACATTTAGTTGTATCAGTCTATTAATAGTTTCAACTACAAGTGAAATTAAACCAATAAGAAACTGCTTAAGAATTATTAAAAATACTAAATTTTCTTTAACACCCCAAAACGCAAAAATGTTCTTTTGGCCTATATTGAAAATAGTAATGATAATTCTTAGGTAAAATCGTTAAAAAAATGATGTGCCACACAATGGGTGAAGCGTGATGATATAGAAACAGACTTCATTGAATTATTTGTAATTGCAATCCAATGTCAAGAAAATATTGCTAATTGAAATAATTCCACTTTAATTGGAGCTAACTTACTTGTAAAAGCTAT